AGAACGACAAATATGAACAAGACAAGATGTAAAGAAAGCGCAACATGATATGAGCCAGAAAAAAAAAAAGTTTAAAAAAAGATGACAACCTTTTTGGCTCGTTCTTCAGCGGCACAGAGCTGTGAATAATAAGCACCTTTTTCGGCAGTGAAATGCACAGTTGCCAGGCCGTTCTCGACCAGTGCTACACTCATATTGCAAAGACCCTGTTCCGTTTGAACGAACATATAACCAATGAAACTTCCTGATTTATCCATTCCTTCCACTTCTATTTCCACCTGAAAAAAGAACTGTCGAAAAAAAAAAAAATTAAAAACGAAATGAGAAGAAATATAAAACCTTCAATGCCATGGAGATTATTTACAAACTGATTCACTTAGAAAAAATCAAGAAAAATTTTTTTTGGCAAATGTTAGAACAGCACGGTTATGAATACCCTTTGCAAGGTGATATTTACTCCACTTAGCAGGTAAGAGATTTGGACAGCAAAATTCCCCCCTTCCCCCTGCCCTTCCCCACCCGCTTTCTGAGTAATGCAAACCATATTTCCCGAACCATAGACAGCCGAAAATTCATGTATCACGGCATTTATTCAATTTTACCCTCACTTTATCAACCTCGTCCACCATGCACATCAATCTGGCCTGTCCCTCAAACTATACATCTAAGTTATCCACACAATGTTGCTTAAGTAATATGCGCTGTATCCAGGTAAACTAAGTAAAGAAATTCGACAGAAAAAGAGACGGGCTCGTGCAATATAGTGGAAAACTAAATATGACTTAAAAAAGAACATACCTCGTGCTGCAGAACTTTTAAGCGAGTAAATTTGACGGCTTCTTCGGCATACGGCTCATTTTCACCGATCAATCTACCGCCCGGACCAAGACGAGCACCACGAGGGCAGTTTATACCCGAGAACAAAAATGTTATAAGGCACGTCTCCTTAGGCACATAGAGTCGAACCCGACTACCGGACGCTATGAACTCGACAACACCCTCCGAACGTCCGGAACGTTGCAAATATGGTAAAAATTGCTTTGAACGCTGAGCATCCTGCAAAAAACCCATGAAATTTTTTAGAAATCGCAATTTTTGGCAGAACGGATACACCTTGTCGCAAATCTTTTTTACTGGATTTTCTTAGAAAAAGTGTGTAAAAAATTAAAAAGAAGGCTTATCAACCAATCGAACTGTGTCCTTTAAACACTAAAAAAATCCAAAAGTTATCCTGCCTTCTCCAAAAGATAGTTATCCAAGTAACGTGTCTGAGAAACTGTTACTTTCTTTGAACAAAAGATCATTATAAAGCTTGGAATCATAATAAATTATCAATCAATTTCGTCAAAGTATCAATCGACTAGAAGACGAGTCCCCAACCGCTTACTATTTCCAGAAATCGAAATCCTCTACATTCAACGGAGAGCTGCAGAACTTACTCCTTGCAGTTCCTGTATTCTTAAAACAGAGCCTTTTTCGCCCACATCTTTGTCTGCAAATAAACCCTTTTTGCTTTTCTCCGCTTTCGCCTCCGCAGCTAGCAAAGCATCATATTGTGAAGAGCTGAAAAACACAGAGAAGTAAATTTACAAAAATTCAAAAAATTGGAAAACTTTCATTATTCTGTAAACATAAAGTCACGCATAATCACCAACAAAATACACGAAAACGTAGCCAGGTCCGCAAGCAGTAATGCGCTGATAATCCGTTAATATTGTTTTGGTTATGTTAGCCACGGTAGTACTCTACGACGGAGCAACAGAAGCTGATCAGAGCTCTGGCAAGTTATACATCGCCATTCATCTACAAGAAAAGATACCGATTGTCGTCATCAATTCTGTATCGCACAACTTTTGCGAGTCCCTTGGAAATAAGTGCTTCAGCGACGTTCAAACCACCAGACATTACTGTACAGCAGACTTTTTCAGGGAACTGTTCGGATTTTGGCTGAACATAATCGATTGTGACCTGAAAAAAACTGGTTCCTTTTCAAAAAAAAAAACCTTTAAAATCGGCTAAAACAGTGGAAGCAATCATCAGTGGCCTGTATTTTATCACTTTTTCAACAGTCAGAAGCCATTTCCACTATACACTTTCATTGTTCAAAATATATTTGTAGACTGTTTTGCTATGAGTAAAGCATGCATAAAAAATAACCTAATCAACTGATGGAACAAGAACGAAAGGGATGAAATGAAAAGCTGGACGGTAGCCACGCGAAACTGGGAGAGGCATCTGTCATAACAGAACAGCCCAGAACAACACAAAGTAGAGTTACGCAAAATTAACGAGCTGAGAAGCGATCAGAGCAAAGAAAGTGTTAGCCGTATAGTGAGAAGTAGTACAATGAAGGAAGGAACAACAGCTTGTCAAAGGAGCAAGTGCTAAAATGAAAATTACCTGAACTTTTTTACCGATCAGACGTTTACGCAAAAATTCTCGTGCCTCGAACATATATGGGATGTCGTAGAGTGGTCGAAATTGCCGACCAACTTTGTTTTCCGTCTCACGACTTGGATTTTCCTCCCTGCAATGAGTCAAAAACGAGGCATTAATCGAGGAATACTCGGTTGCTGCTTTCAAATCAAAATTCATTCGCTGTCAAATATCCATTTCTGTTCATGCTGTATTAATACTGCCAATGATTTCTAAACAATCTGTCTTTTCCGATGTCGTTTTCCCGATTTTTTTGCTATTTTGTTTAATAAATCTGTTTTAAATCGTAGGTCTGTTTGTTGTTCTTCGCGTCATGAGAGCTCTTGTTGGCCCACTGATAGGGCCCAATGGCATTTCACATGAACTGATTTTACTGCCGATAGAGATCACTACAGTGGTGTTCTCCAATCCGCCATTAATCCGTAGAAATAAGACAGGATTCCTGCCAATTCACTCTATGTATACAAGTTAACGTATGGTCACAATGGTCGGAATCGATGAAGATTTTCGGACTTCAGTCTGAATTCTATCAACACTGGGACCAACCCCATGAAAACTTGTCCATATTTAACAAAAAGAGAAATCGATCAAGGTTTTTTCATTGCACAAATTGTAAAAATGTTGCCCTTGCTCATTCTGCAAATGCTATAAGATGAGCTACTCGTGCCCTCTTCTTGTGTAAGATGTTCCATTAAACCTACATCCAAAACCAATTCAAAAACTAGCAGCTATACCAAAGCATAACAATTTGCAAGTATGCTCCAAAGGCAGATTTTTTGAAATTTTGCGAATAAAAAGTGCAGCAAAGGAAATTCAAAAAGGCAAGAAGTTTTCTATCAGTTACAAGATCTTCTCGAAGTCTAATCCAATTCGAAAACTAGCGTAAACCCATCGACAGATCCGGTAATTCTCAGAAGATACTACAAAGCTTAATAAAGAACAAACACACGCACCTTGGCGGTCGTACTGATGAAAGCCATATTTTCGTCTCAGTGCCGTCCTCCCTCTGTATGATCATTGCATCACCCATGTTGATCTCGATTACTTTTGCCGAGAATGTCTTCTTATCAGAACTCAGTTGATTTGATGGCTGATAGCTACGCCATAGTCGCAATTTTTTGTCTTTTGCTCGTCTATAAAATCAATTATCTGACTTTTTTGAGTCACAGTAACGGAAAGCAGGGAGAAAGAAAGAGAAGGCACAGCATCGACAAGACCCCTTTCCAATTTCTCACTTTTTCCAGGATAACTAAGCTTATTTTCTCTTCAGTTTCTTCATCCTTTCCACAATGAAGGGCACCGGCATTTCCAAAGGGAATGAGGTGCTTTTTAGAAATTACGCACTCTGCTTTCTCAAATGAAGAACTGCTCCACGCAGCGACAAAACGAAGAAAAAAAGAACCAATTTGCAACAAAAGTTTAATCCTATCGCTTCACTCTCTCCGCATCAGAAAGCCTCCAAATTTGTGAGAGACGGC